ATATATATATATTACCTAGCGCAGAAGCTGCCAAACGAACATAGAAACTTTGGCCACCTTCTGCATATTGCCTCAAGTCCATGAGCTCCCCAGTCCACATGACACAACCTGAGCCTTCTCCATTTGAAATCCTTGCATCAGAATATGCAGTGCAATTACAGTTCTCCAAACACGTTTTCTTACATGCCTCCAGGCTCATGTTCATGTCCACAAAACCACCGCCACTCTCGGGCAATTTCATGTTTTCCAAAACCAAAAATTTGTCTTTCAAACAACCTAACTCCGTTTTTCTCACGCACCCATCTGACCCGTCTCTCAAGTTCCATGCCTGCAAATTCTTGGGCCCAAACCCTTCCAAGCACTTGCACACTGGCGAAGCATTCGAGTCACAAACACCGTAGGGACCGCACTCTCTAAATCTGTCACATTGGTCTTTTGGTGCGTACCAATATTGGTTCCATATCTTTGCGCTTTCGATCCACATAAAGCGCTGGAGGTCCCCAGTTGGACTCACAGTCAACCGTGAATATATCGGTCCGGAACCCAGGATCGAATAGGAGTAGTAGACCTCGTAAGGTTTCACAACGAAGTTGAATCGTATATTGTTTGATGCAGTCATCTCCGGCACGCCACTAAACCTCTCCCCGTTCCAGGGGCCGCTCCGGTACGTTATGTTCTGTTTGTTCCACAAGAAAATCTCCGGGAAACCCTGGTGATTTAGCTTGAAAGAAAAGTCCCCTGTTGATGGGTCTTCTATGCTTTTCCATGAGGTTATGTACCTGTCCAATCCTGTGCTTAGGTTCCACCCCAACTTCATGTCCGGCAGCAAAGTGTTTGTTGGGTAATCAAAGCTTTGCCAAAGGAACTCATCTGTTGCGCCGTTTTGGGTTGAGTTTGCCTCCTTGAGGACTAAATTGCCTGAATCTAAAAGCTGAGCAATTGGGTTCACACCTTGGGTTTCATTGGATGACCATGCTATTTTTTTTGTTTCTTCATCAACAAGAACAAGGTTTCCATGATCGCCGATTTTGAGAGTTGCTGAGTACGAATTCGAAAGCGGGGTGTCTCTATTGGCAACCCAAACCACTGTTTTTTCTTGGATTTTTTTGTACCATATTCCCAAGTACCAATCTGAAGTTGTGCCTGGCTTGAACAAGCCCAATTCAAAGACATCGCTGGCTGAGACAAGGGTTTGGTCATGTTGGAGCAATTGAGTCTGGGACAAGGTGTCTTCGGATGTGACAATTGGGAACAAAGTAAGTAAACTGAGGCATAGAAGAACAATGGAACAATATTTGAAAGCTCTCATTCTTTCACGATTAGGGCTTTTCTCTGTGAAAGCATATAAGGGATTGGGTTGCTTGGTTTTGAAGAAATTGGGTCAAATCCATTGATATAGAGGAGAAGACGAAACTAAGAGAGTCTTTCTTATTACCAATTTGAGCTACAACAATTTGAGGAAACTGAGAGAGTCTTTCTTATGAACATTCTCTTTTGGGATTCTTTTTCATTCATCAAATTTGGCCCTTTCCCCAAATTTTGCTTAATCCCTTTTTGCAAGTTTGTACGTATGATTTGCATGATTGGTGGTTTTTACTTTTACTACGTATGTACGTAGGTGGATATGTAGTATTGGTTACTTGAGATCTACGGCGGCAAGTTTTCGGATTCTTTCCCAAATTTTTGCTTATCTTGTATGCTCGCGTGCATGGTTCACTCTCCTTTGCTCTATCCTTCCCGATTTACTTTCTTTCTTTTTTAAAACTTCTTTCCTAATTTACTTTGGTTGAGTTTGATTACTTCACTCTTTGCCGTCTTTTTTTGTAAAAAAATTATCTCTATTTTCATATCCAATCGTGATATATTGTCTTAATCTATGTCTTGGCTATGATGAGATTGTTGACAACATATTTTCTTGCACGTGATCCTTTATTTGACAGTAATACAACTATACTAATTTTTGGACACTACTGATATGACAAGTTCTTATTGGTTGGGAATAAATGAAGTCCGGAATGAGTCATCAAAAGGAAAACAAATGAGCAAGTGACTTGTAGCTCAAGTGGTTGAGAGTATTTACTTATGCACGAGGTCCTAGGTTCGATTCCCTCTCCCCCAATATCGCTTTGTATTATAAAAGAAGAAAAACAAATGAAACACTGTCACATTATTTGGGGTCCAAAAAATTTGTGTAATAGGTTGGTGGAAAAAATCATTGATCCCCTCTCCCTTTTTTTTTGAACGTTTTTATTTTGGAGTGGCATGAAGCTTTTATGGTGTGTTTACTAATTAGGAATTGGAATTTGAATCTGGAATTGAATTCCAATTATGAAGGATTCATGTGTTTACTTCACATCAAGAAATTAAAAAGTAGATAAAAAAACCTAGCTGCACTCTGGCCCCCTTTCTCCTTGCCGACAACCAACCGCAAGGAAGCTAAGGGAGGATGTGGCCACTGCCCTTCCTCCCCTCCTGCCCATCTTCCCATTCCTCTTCTCATCTCCCCATCTTTCCCTTCCTCTTATCCCCTCTTCTCCTCCCCTCCCCAAATAATCTAGATCTATTTGTCTGTTTGTTTTGTTTGATTGTTTTTGCAGTGTTCTAGGTGGCTGGTGTTGTTTTTATCTCAACGACGGTGACAGTAGTGGCGCTGGATTGTGTCTCTCCTCAGCAGAGTTGTGATACCTTGTGGCTGATGTTTTGTCTCTGTTTCAACGACAGCAGCAGTAGCGACGCTAGTGGTAGTTGTTGGGATGTGGTGCTCTTCTCTACTTTGCGCTGACCAAAGAACTATGCTTGGTCATAGAGGTTTTCTTTGCCCAGTTATGAGTTAAAGTGGAGTGCTTCTCGGGGGTCCTTTTATTGTTGTTTATGTGGTGACGTTGGATTTTGTCTCTCCTCAGGAGAGTTGTGATACCTGGTGGCTGATGTTTTATCTCTGTTTCAATGGTGGCGATAGTAGCGACATTGGTGGTAGTTGTTGGGATGTGGTGCTCTTCTCTACTCTGCGTCAACCAAAGAACTATGATCGGTCATAAGAGGTTTTCTTTGTCCAGTTCTGATTTGAAGTAGAGTGCTTCTCAGGGGTCCTTTTGTTGTTGTTTATGTGTTTCTCCTACGTGTTCTCTCCTAATTTCTGTTATGGTAAGCCTTGTAGTTTGTGTGGGTGTCAAAGGACTATAATTTTGCTCATAGAAGGCTTTTTTTTACAGTTGGGATGTTCTGCGGTCCTCTCATGTGGGTCTACTGTGTTGGTCTATAGTTGCGGTTCTCGTCGAAGGTCTATGTGTTAGTTTTTGTTTTTGATTTGTTCTTTTATTGTATTGGTCAAGAGTGATCTGAATCAGACTCTCTTGTTAATCCATGACATGTGTAGTACTCTTTTCTCCCATTGGGTTTGTCTCATGAAGGGTTTTAACGAGGCCACTGTATCATGTCGTTCTTTGTACGTCTTTCTTTGTATGTCTTTGGTTCTATGAATGAATTCTCTTTATCAAAAAAACAAAAAAGGAATTAAAAAGTAAGTGGGGCCCATACAAAATTAAGAAATTTAATTCTTGGGTGGGATGTGGTATTCTAATTCCTGGAGAACTAACCCGTTAGGAATTCATCTTTTTTACCTATTATATCCTCACACAATTTTAAAATTTTAAAATTTGCCATCTACTTTAACCCAACAACTACGACATTTTAGTAATTAGTACCACTCCTAACCCAATTCCATATGGTTTAGTAAACAACTTCAATAGGAATTTAGAATCTAACTCTCCTCAATCTATATGATTTAGTAAATAACTTCAATGAGAATATAGAATCTAATTCTTCTCAATCCAAATCTTCTTCAATTCAATTCCTCGTAATCCGATTATGGATTAGTAAACATGGCATTAAAAAGAGCCGCATCTTGCATGTGTTGTGTTGGGATGTATTAAGTAGATGGTGCTGTGTTGGTCTATCGTGTAATCTTCTTCGTAGATGAACAATCTCAGACAAGTTTGTCCAAAAAAAAATTCTCAATCAAGTACAGTTTTGAATATAAAATTTGGTTTTTGATTGAAAATATAATGAAAGCTTAATCCTGATCCTCTCCGCTTTAGCGTGGTGTAAGAATATATATAATCATAAGAGGACAAATATGTGAATCCACTGAAAACGACAAAATAGTCCTTTGCTCCTAGGTGAATTGTTTCCACTTTTTTGTTCCTTTTCTGAAAGATTATTTATTTTATTTACCTATTTTGCTTCTAGTTAAATTGTTTTCTTTAATGTCATTGACTTGACTTGGATTCTTGCATCTGCCCATATCAGTAAACCGTAACAATTTGTGTGAAACATGGATAATATTATTTTTCTATTTTCGGCCAATTACGATATTTTAAGCGTGTTTTAACTAGATATACTGTTATTGCTTGGAATTAGCACTCGGGCATAGCAAAAAAGGCGCTATCGTAGAATTCTATAATTTTTCCAGTTCCGCATAACTAGTGTTTCTTCAAATAACCACCACTGAATATATATAATATATCAAATACATAATAAAGCTACTATAGTTCTACGTTGCCTTAGAGGCTTTTCGTAGTATTTTTTGGTTCTCATAAAAAAAATAAAAATAAAACTTAGGAAATTGTCATTAGTGTTTATACCATATTCGACCAAGCAACTAGAAGCGATTCTAAACAAGGCAAAGAGTCCCACATTGAAATATTGCAAGAAGTGAAAACCTACTCTCACCTATAAAAGGAGACCACTCTCCACTAAGGAAGAGAGATCCCTTGGTTGGGCTTGATCTTTAGTTTCTTTATATTTGGGCCCAGCTCCTTGTACAAATGTAAATACACATTGTTATAATAATGAGAATATACTTCTCCGTGGACGTAGCCCATTCATTAAGGGTGAACCAAGTATATCTTGTCTTCTGTATATTTATTGCTTGCCCAAATTCTCACACACTTAGTGATGGTCCTTACCTTCACCTATCATCCATCACACCTCATCTCTAAATTGGGCTAAAAAGTGCTGAATCATTTTTTAGCGTCAACAATTAGCATTCCATAATTTTGCACTATGTACACTTAATACAACACTACCAATCTCTGCCCAACACCTCTTTGCAGCCACTAATCAAACTGAACAAGAGATGAGAATCATCAAACTCATGAGAATGAGGATATATTAAGACATTCTATTTAATACGAAGTTCAATATATTGCATCATCACGAGATATTTTGTCGTTTCAAGAGAAAAATTTGTATGTCACGTATTTATAGCGGGTAAAATTTAAAAGCGTTGTGCTATCGACCATCAGTCCGTCACAACAAATAAATAATGAGAGGTTGGTCTCCATCCATTCCGAGGAATACAATTGGGAGGGTTGTGAGCGTAGTTATCTTTCCAACAAAGGGACGATAGCAGCAGGTGCAATTCAAATTTGGTTCAAGTAAAAACTTGTGCAACCAATCAGTTCCACTTTTGGCATGTGGTCCTGGCAAATTGGAATTGTCAAATGTTTGATTTGAACACGGTGCATGTTTCACTCCAGTGCCAGAGAAAACCATTAAAACATAATTAATGAGACACAAAAAAAGGGTGCGTGAAGACCGAGGGAGAATCAAGCTGCAGAGAGAGAGACTGCAGAGAAAGAAGCCTTAGGAATGAGGTTGTCAGTGTCTCAGTGTTTTTCTTTTTTCTTTTTTGAAAATAAAATAAAATAAAAAAACCAGAAAGTCACCCCAAAATCACAGAGAAATCTTGTTTGTTTGTTTTTTTTTGAATTTTGCTATTAATGTTGCCATTTATTAAACATTTGTGAACCCATAAATAAACGAACTTCTTCAACGGCACGGACCACTTCATTGATTAATCATTTATTTTTCAGTCTCAAAGTACAAAACAGACAGTGATTGTTTGACAACAACACCACCTACCAAAATTAGGCTTAAAATTGAATTTTATTTATTTTTTTATTTTCCAATTCAAAACTCAGGTTCTAGCCATATGGCATTTACACATCTTTTTTTAATTCAAATGAGCACAAAATGAGAGTCGAGCTGAGAACGATTTGTTTTGCATTTTTAGTACTTGAGAAATAAGCATGAGATCCTTGTTCATGTTTGGTAAGTCATGCATTTGAAACGATATGTGATTTTCTAGGTAGTGTTTGTTTAGTAATATGAAATTTAGCACAATGCTTGGGTCCTAAATAGTAATGTCAATTTTATGTGGCTTAATAATAGGAATGTGCAATTTATTTTGACCAAATTTATTGAAGATGCAACCAATCATTAAAACCCTTTTCTCTCGCTTGTGCTCTGCTTCTCTCCAGTTTTGAGAGTCGGTGGCAGTTTCCCACCCTTAATGGGTGTTTCTCTGAGCTCTGTCTCAGTAGTTCAGGGCTTTATGCCCTTTCAGTTATGTTGTTTTTGTTTTCTCCTTCCTCTCCAACCCCTTTTAACCCTAGATCTCACTTCAATCTCCAACCTTTTTATTGGTTTTTCATCCTCTTTCACCCCCTTGGTCCTCATCTCCCAGATCCCCCCCACTCTCACCCTTATCACTTGCTCTACTCCTCTCCTTCCTCACTTGTTCCCACCTCAATCCAAGCTTGCAGCTAATAAGTCATGCATTTGAAACAATATGTGATTTTCTAGGTAGTGTTTTTTTAGTAATATGAAATTTAGCACAATGCTTGGGTCCTAAATTGTAATGTCAATTTTATGTGGCTTAATAATAGGAATGTGAAATTTATTTTGACCAAATTTATTGAAGATGCAACCAATCATTCAATTAAATTTTAGAAATAATGACACATGTAACAAGGGTTTACTATCGATTTACCCTCTGAACTTGTATGTTACTTTCAATTTGCACCCTCAACTTTTTTTTTGGAAAATTAAGTACACGAACTAATTTTTATTGCCCCCAACCTCCATGTTTTTTTCACCCCCGAACCCAGCCTGCTCGCGGGGCTTTCTTCTCCTCCCCTTCCCC